ATGGCTGAAGCAGATGTAAGTGCTTTATGTTTTTGTGAAATGAAACAGTTGGTGAGCAAACCACTGTAGCATCAGTGATCTCAATAATGTACATGCAATCTGAAGTTTGTGTGTGTTACTTATTAATAGTGATAGAAACCTCCCCCTTATAGAATCACATCTTTGCTAACAAACACATAATGATGTGTTGTTTTAGTTGTGTTAAATGAGCTGTCACTCCTGTTCCTTACATACAGGTATAAAGAGGGTCGTCTGCAGGATCATGCAGAGCACAGACACATGGCGGCCCTGGTGGAGAGTTCCACCCAGGAATTGATGGAGACAGTTGAAAAGAAAGGAGATGATGAAATACTGGAATGGGAGCTGGATGAGCTGCTGGCCTGGACCAACACTCTAAACTTCGAGGAGTAAGGCACTCTGATTAGAATGTTTATGGCATTTGTAATCTTTCTCATAATTTCCTGCATCATGGGGGGCCCGAGTATGAATTTTCCTCTCTTGCCTGTGCAGGTATATGGAGGAATGGAGACATTTGGCCTGCAGTTACTCCTCTGAGCTGAGCAAAGGTAAAAATATTCCCTAAATACTGTATTCTGTACTGCCATCTGATTTTTTTAAATTGACAGCTAACATGGCAACATCATGTACAGTATGTTGCTTTGGAAGTCTTTGCATTATCCTGATAATCCAGTCTCATGCTATTCTGTCTTCCTTTTTTCTTCATCACCTTTTTCTCATATGTCCTACAGATGGCCCTTCTCACCCACCCAGGTTAGATCCACACGAGCTCGCTGATGAAAACGCAGCAGAACAAACATGATTTATGTTAAAACTGTGCAGTCTCGAAGTGGAGTGTGCCACACTGTTATTGTCGCAGTATTCACTTTAATAAAGTCTGAAACTTGCAGTTGTTTACAGTCCTTGTTAGTCTGTCATATAAGTAGACATCACTGTGTGACATTTTTTGTTAGTTTTAAATAGTTTTTAAAAAACTATAAACATGTGATGAGCGTCTTTTGAAGTGGATTTTAATATTACGCTGCAGCCGAGAGAGCACTCTGGTCAAACGTCAAAATGGTCTCTAAGTGTACACATTAGTTTTGACTGCTAATGAAAATAGTTTTCGTTACAAATAACTCTCGCACTGAACTAACAGCCAATCCCTCAACAAGTTTGTGCTCTCTGCTCATATTGCCTTCATATTAAATCATTTTGTGCTTTTTAAAGAACTTATTTTAACATTGCACTCAACAACAAACAAATCCTCCATAACAACAAAAGTAACTTCAATGGCCAAACTGCATTATATTTCTTCAGGTCAATATACGGGCCCCAAGTAGGAGGGAGGTAAGCCGTGAGTTTGAGACCCTTGCTAAAATGAAACGGTGGAGAGTCCCAGGTATTTATACACCAGAGGGATGTGTCCCTTAAAGGAATCCGGACACTCATCTTTCAAAGCTCCTTAGACTAACAGGCCCTGGATGACTGAGAACAGACAAAACTACTATGTTTTAGGCACTGCTGGGAGTTGAACCCAGGATCTCCTGTTTTCTAGTTTAAGACTTACTAGACAGGCACTTTAACCAACTAAGCCACAGCGCCACATACGCACTGATGAACACTGAGAAAACCTCCAACCGTTAAATAGATTTGAGCCTAAACAGAAACACATGAAAGGCAGTCTTGTTTCTTATATTAATCACCAGAGGTTGTCGCATAAAAAGAGACAACGTGTTTAAAACTCAGGGGTTAAAAGTGGGACGGTGTTTTCGTTTTTGCTAGCTAAAGGTTCAGCTGCTGTTTTTCACAGGGAGAGAGAAGAAAGGGAGCTAACATCACATGGAAATGGAGAAAGATAAGAAAGACAGGACAGGAGAGGTGAAAGTGGTTCACAATAGTATCACACAGATGTACATAAAACATAGGGGAGACCGGGGATAGTTGTAACGTGGGTCAGTTGTAACACTTCCAATTTCTCCAAAGACAACTCTTGCACCAATTTTGAACATAACAATGAAGCTGAAAAAATGTAGTTGTTCACCAGCATCGCAATTCCATTACTTTTTATCATGGCTTACCTTGGTGTGGTTTGCAAAGTGCTTCAGAAAGATGAGGAAATCTGTTTCTTGCACCCATCCTGATTTATTTCCACTACCAGTACTTCCTACTGGTCCATCTCTGACACAGTGGTCTGCATAATGTATGTGTGGGAACACAAACAGTGGAGGAATTGTGTTGCCAATGGCATTAACCGCATATACAAATGCGACCAGTGAACCTCTCTCTGCTGATGTCGTTGCCCCAACTTGTTTAATATAAGTTAAAGTAATAGTGTGGTAAGTTGTAACATCTGCATTATTGTTACAACTAACCCAGACTGTTGCTGTTACAACTGACCCAGACTCCTATAGCCATGAACTAGCTAACATTACAGCCAACGGCTAAAACATTAGCACTAAAGACCTACACAGAATATATCCCCATAGACATACAAATAACATAATTTAAGTTTGATGAGTTTAACTGCAAAGCAGATAATGCTATTAGAAATTGAAATAAAGTAGAAAAACTTACTTTTTGGCATACAAATTACTTTTTTTCAGTGTTAAATTGTCTGTGTTTGACAAAATGTGCTGATTTTTCACATGTGATAGCAGAACTGAATTGGGCATGCACAGGATGAGTCACATCATTTGAAACTTAGCCCTGAT